TAGCATGAGCGAGGATCTCAGGATTTTTAACATGTATTTCTCGCTTACGCGACACATTGTCGTCTAGGCGAGATTTTTTTTATAGATATTATCGCTCGAGCTAGATTGAGACAATACACATACACAACCAACATTGGAAACAACAAATAAAAACAAGAACAACGAAAACAGTAAATGTTGGATTGCCTTCTAGGTAGCGTTTTTTAACGTTATTAGCCCGACGTCTATTTCTTTATGGATTAGAGAGGTGAATGATTGTGGTAAGTCTTTCGAGCTCATCACCCAAGTACGGTTTGATTCTCTGACCATTGAATGTTAAACTTCTCTGTGATGCGGGATCCTGTAATTCATTCGCTCCATGCGACTTTACTTTTTTAACTAGAAAGGGTCCTGACCACATTGATTTGAGTTTTCCCGGAAACAATTTCATTCGAGAATTGAACAACATCACCGATTGGCCTGGTTGGAAATCCTTGCTTAAGATCTTCTTGTCATGGTACATTTTGACTTTCTCCTTGTACAACTTTGAGGATTCATATGCACTAAGCCTCATTTCTTCCAATTGTTGCAGTTGTACTTTTCTTTTCTCACCTGCAGCCTTTTGGTCCACATTGAAATACTTCAAAGCCCAAAAAAAATTGTGTTCAAGCTCCACTGGAAGATGACAAACTTTTCCATAAACCAACTGATAGGGAGATAACCCTGTTGGTGCTTTGAATGTTGTTCTATAAACCCATATTGCATCATCAAGTTTGAGAGACCAATCTTTTCTTGAGGCGAAGACTGTATTCTTCAAGATTCTTTTGATCTCTCTGTTGGACACCTCCGCTTGTCCATTTGTTTGCGGATGATAGGAGATGCAACCTTGTGTCGCACTCCATATTGTTGAAGGACGTTTTGAAGTTGTACATTACAAAAGTGTGATCCTACATCACTAATCAGAACCCGTGGTGTGCCAAACCTACTGAATATGTTTCTTTTTAAGAATTTCACCACTGTGTTGTCATCATCCTTTGATGCAGCTATAGGTTCAACCCACTTGGATACATAATCCACCGCTACAAGTATATAGATGTCTGAATGCGATAGTGGCAATGGTCCCATAAAGTCTATCCCCCAACAATCGAATACATCAATCTCTTGAATATTGGACAAAGGAATTTCATTTCTTTTGGAAATTCTATTTGACCTTTGACAATTATCGCATTGTTGAGCAAATCGATATGCATCTTTGAACAGCGAAGGCCAATAAAAGCCTGATTGAAGGACTTTAGCAGTTGTCATTTCTCCATTAAAATGTCCTCCATATGGCGAGTTGTGACAATGCCATATGATACTTTTGGCTTATGTTAAAGAGACACACCACCACAATAATCCAGCAGACCTAATCTTGAACAGATGAGGGTCATCCCAAATGTAATGACGGGAATCTCTAAGAAACTTCTTCTTTTGGTGCCAATTGAAATCATTGGTGAGCACCCTTGTAGCTTTGAAATTGGCCATATCAGCAAATCATGGCCTTTCTTGTAACACCAAGAGTTTTTCATCAGGAAACTCTTCTACCACCTCAACTTCTTTACTCATCACTTCTTGATTTACCAACCTTGATAGATGATTTGCTACGCAGTTTTCACTTCATTTCTTGTCTTTGATTTCCAAATCAAATTCCTGCAATAACAACACCCATCGAAGCAATATCGGTTTTGAATCTAATTTGGATAGCAAATATTTTATTGCAGCATGATCTGTGAATATTATGACCTTTGATCCAATCAAGTATGATCTAAACTTTTCCAATGCATATACAATTGTTATCAATTCTTTTTCTGTTTTTGCATAGTTAATTTGTGTCTCATTTAAAACTTTACTAGCATAATGAATTCAATCAAAAAATTTACATTTTCGCTGTCATAGTACAGCTCCGACTCCATAATCACTAACATCACAAATTAGTTCAAAATCTAAATACTAGTCAGGAGCTACTATGACAAGAGTAGAGATGAGTTTTTACTTTAACATTTCAAAGGCTTTTGCACACTCAGTATCAAAGTAAAAAGAAGTATCTTTGTTTAGTGAATTACTGAGTGGTTTTTCAATTTTCGAAAAATCATTTACTAAACGTCTATGAAAACCTGCATGTACATGGAAACTTGTGAGACCCTTGACATTTGTTGGTGGTGGCAGCTCCATGATGACTTCAACTTTAGCCTTGTCCACTTCAATACCTCAAGAAGAGATCTTATGCCCTAAGACCACCCATTCGGTCACCATTAAGTGACATTTCTCCCAGTTTAGAACAAAGTTAGTTTCAACACATCGCCTCAAGACTGTGTCCACGTTTGCCAAGCAACACTCAAATGATGACCCAAAAACTGAAAAATCATCCTTGAAAACTTCAATAGATTGTTCCACCATATCTGAAAAAATAGCCAACATACAACTTTGGAAGGTAGTTGGTGCATTACACAGTCCGAATGGCATCTTCCTATATGCAAAGACACCAAATGGACATGTGAAAGCGGTCTTCTCCTGATCATTCGGATCAACAATGATCTGGTTATATCCTGAGTATCCATCCAAAAAGAAATAGAATGCTTGACCATCTAGTCTTTTGATCATCTGATCCATGAATGGTAGAGGAAAATGATCCTTTCGGGTAGCCTGGTTCAGTTTCTTGTAATCAATACACATCCTCCAGCATGTGATTGTCTTGGTAGGGATCAACTCATTCTTATCATTCTGCACCACATTCATGCCTCCCTTCTTTGGAACCACTTGAACCGGACTCACCCAAGTACTATCAGATATAGGTTAAATCATTTCTGCATCTAGAAATTTCATCACCTCCTTCTTCACTACTTCTCTCATTGTAGGATTAAGACGCCTCTCAAGTTGTACAACCGGTTTGTAATCCTACTCCATATGAATTTTGTGCATACAATAGGAAGGACTAATACCCTTTAGATCTGAAAATGTCAAACCTATAGCCCCTTTATTTGCCTTCAAAACTTCAAGCAGTTTTTGTTCTTCCTCAGGTGATAAAGTGCTGATGATCACCATCGGTTTATTACCTCCATCCTCTAAAAATTCATACTTCAAATGTGAAGGTAACATTTTCGGTTCCAACTTCTGAATTTATGTTTTCTGATTTTTGGACAATTCCTCTGTTTTTACCTGTTGAGATGGAATCTCTCAGAGTGCATCTAACTCCGCTACACACTTCTCAATGCACTTTTCATCTTCAACATCTCTACCTTCAAATTCACCGTTCAAAGCTTTCTCCAAAGGACTGCTTTTATGTAAATGCATATTACTCCCATATATAATTTGTCCATGACATCTAATCTGAAACAATGTTGCTTATCCTTCGGATGATGCATGGCTTCAAAAACATTGAAGTTCACTTCATCATCTTTTACTCTGACCTTCAACTTGCCATCATCAACATCAATAATCACTCTGATAGTTCTCATAAAAGGTCTACCCAAAATCAATGGAACTTCTGTGTCTTCTTCAATATCCATAATTACAAAATCAACTGGTAATACCACCTTAACCAGGACATCTTCTACAACTCCATAAGGAAATTTCATTGATCTATCTGCAAGCTGCAAAGTCATCCTTGTAGGTTTAACATCCAAATCTCCAATTCTTCGTAAGGCATTAGATTGATATTGGCACCCAAATCTAGTAGTGCTTTTCCCATAGATAATTCTCCAATAGTGATTGATATTGTGAAACTCTCTAGATCCTTAGTCTTTTTCGGTAAAGACTTCTAAATAATTGCACTGCATCCAGCTTCAAGTGTCACTGTCTCCTCAGAAAACTTCATATTCCTTGTCAATAGATCCTTCATGAATTTGGCATAAGTAGGCATTTGTTCCATAGCCTCCATGAAAGGTATGTTGATTTGAAGGATCTTGAAGATATCCATGAACCTTGTATATTGTCTCTCTTTGTCTTTCTTATAAAGATTCTTTGGATAAGGAAGATTCTTCAATTATGGCAGTTCACTCTTCTGCTTCTTAGTCTGCTCATTTTTTTCTCCCTCTTTTTCTTTGTTCTTTTCCTCACTATGTACATTCTCCTTATTTTGTGTCTCTCCAGACTCACTTTTTTCTCCCTCAATCTCTTTATCATTAAGAACCTCCTCCTCTACTACCAAATTCTCACCAATCTCTTGATTAATCACCTTTCCACTTCGAGTGGTAATGGATTTGCAATGTTCCTTGGGATTCGTTTGAGTGTTGGCTGAGAACTGTCGGCTATCTGAAATCTGCTATGCCTTATGTTTTGCCAATTGATCCACATGTGTTTCCAAATTCCTGATAGATGCTTCAGTATTTTTCTGGATTGTTATTGAAGCTTGCATGAATTTTTCTAAGGTGTCCTCTAGCTTGGTTTGTCTTTCATGCATTAGTGGATGTTGACCTTGTTGGAATGGTTGCTGAAATGGTGGTTATCTATTTGATGGTCCTGACTCTGGTCTCCAACCATAATTCTGATTCTGATTGCCCCTCCAACCTTGTGAAAGTTGACTATTGTACGAAGGGTTGTTGGAAAAATTGCCTTGTCGAGGTTGATTATTGATATACTACACTTCTTCCTCCCGGCTATTACTTGACATTGAACAGTGACCATTTAAATGTTCACCTCCACAAAAATCACATCTCAACACTTGTTGTTGACTTGAAGCGGATTGCACATGCAATTGTTGCGGCAACTTTCACATTTGCTTTGTAAATGCTTCAATTTGGTGAGTCAAAATTTTATTTTGTGCTAAAATAGCATCTGATGTGTTCAAATCAAGCATTCCTCTCTTCTGTACTGACTTCCGATTATGTTGTGCTTGCCTATATGTTGATGATAAAGCAGTTATGATCCTTGTAGCTTGTTCAACATCCACAACCATCATTGTTCCACCTACTATTGCATCTAAAATCATTTTGGTCTCAGGCTTCAACCTATTGCAGAATATGTTAAGTTGATCCACATTTTCAAAACCATGATTGAGGCATTTTCTCAGTAGCACCTGAAAATGCTCCCAAGCTTCATAAAATGCTTCATCTGCACCTTGTCGAAAAGTTAATATCTCAAACTTAGCATGCACATACCGAGATGGTGGAAAAAACTGTGTCAGAAACTTTGATTACAGATCACTCCAATTGGTCAAACTTTGGGTTGGGTGAGACTTTGACCATTCCCTAGCTTCACCAATTAAAGAAAATGAAAATAACATCATATAAGCAGCTTCTCTTTCATTATTATTATAACCCATAGTCGCCACCAATTCATAAAAATTGTCCAAATGTGCATATGGATCTTCATAATCTTGTCTAGGAAATTGATGTGCACTGACCAGATTCAAAAAAGTTGGCTTGATTTCCATTGTCATTTCAGTATGTGGAATGACAATGCTTGAATAATGCCTTGGACCTTAATACATTGCATAATCACCCAATATCCTTCTTGGAGGATTAGCTCTCTCATTATTTCCAATAGCAGCATTTGCATTTTCCATTTTGTTAGATTGAGGCTCTGGAATTATTATTTGTTGATAACTAGACTGTGCCTCTTGAATACCCTACTTATTCTTGTCTTTTTCCTTCGTTCTATTACTATTGGCTAATCTTTCAATCTCAAGATTAAACTACAATTGATCTTTAGTAGCCGTTCATCTCAAAAGCATAAATGAGAAGACTATAGCAAGGGTTAGCACAGAGATTGATAAAAATTAATTACAAAAAATTTAAAAATTAATACACTACTCAATAAACTATATTTAGAAACTAATATAAATCGTGCATTGCTCCCCGGTAGCGGCGCCATAAACTTGTTGGTATTTTTGCGTACGGCTAATGAACCATATAGTTCAAGTAACAAAACTGGTAAATATCGGGATATCGTCCTCAGAGAGCAAATCGGATTTGTTATTTTCTACAAATATAGATTGAGTAAATATATACAAGCATTGGATTTGATGAAAGTCATTGAATTTGATTTATCTAAAAGATTAAATGGAAATTGTTTTTCTAAATTAAATTAAAATGGTTGGGATTGACTTTCGTCATTCTTCCTCTTTGCAAACCTTATATTTAATTCTGTAAAACTTGTGCAGTTATAGATCTTGATGCAACATCTATGAATCATCTGTATTAATTCCTTGGTTACAAAATCCTTAGATAATTCATCAAATATCAATCCCTTGGTTATTTAACAAATTATCTAGCAATAAGTCCAATGTAAAAGTAATTCATACATCATTGTCTATTCCTAGATCAATGATGCATCACGAAAGATTATCCAGTTTTGATTCCAAGTTTCACTTCCCAGTTGAACTTAGATACAAGATCAAGAATCTAATAGCTAGTTAGAATCAAACATTAAGCTAAGAATAAAATTTCCACAATAAAAATAACTGAATATATTCGAAATGAATCCAATAATACTAGAGTCAGACGATTACATTCAATCCCAACACTGAGAGATTTAGTCGCTCATTCTACACATTACAACGATGAATGGTGTAAAATACAAAGAAATCCAAATCTAGAGTCGTTCCCACGACTTCTCTCATTCTCTCTCGTGCTCCTCTCTCTAGAAAACTCAGGAAAAATCAATAAAAGTAAAGTGTAACCCCCCAAAATTGACGGCAACCGCCTATATCTAATTTTGCATTTTGGTCTCTCGCTCAAGCTAGAGATTCTCGTTTGAGCGAGAATCCACCATTGAGGTTGGCCTTTGAGCTTGAAACTGTCGCTTGGGCGCCAGACTCTCGCTCAAGTGAGAGACAAACTTGGGCTTGAGCGACCCTCTCGCTTGAGCGAGAGGTCCAAAGCTTATTTTCCTCATTTTCTTTCAATTTTCATCTTTTTCAATCATCATTAACCTGCAATTGACAAGAAATGTGTAAGTTTTTTAAACAATGCTAATTATACTAGATTCTTTAGAGTTTGACCAATATTTTCATCATAATTTCACAATAAGTGCCTCAAATTATATACAATTTCTTCATAACATGACACTTAACAAGGTGCGACTTCAATTGAGTACACGTGTCGGAGCTCGAGTGAAGATGACACATATCAAAGAGCAATTCAGCAATTCACCCTCACAACTAAAAGTTCATGAAAAGGATCAAAAGATGGATTTGTGAGTGTAAAGGTAGTAACCCTTATCTTGAGAACTCTTCATAAATTATATTTCAATCATTTTTTGTATTTTCATGATTATTCTTGTCAACTATTTCATTGATCTGAATTTGATTTATTTCCCTATTGGAGTTAATTATAAATTAATTGATATAATTAAAGGAATTTTTCAGTCCTCATGAGATCAATATTTTATTATTTGACTACAAAATCGTTCGCATGCGATTTAGCCTACCAATTCTTCATGTAGAGTTAACCATCCTACCTTCATCTCATGCTCTTGAAGTTATCCTTAGATTCCACAATTGCGGTCACTTTTGGTTGTCATGCTCTATCAAGACATCTTAAAGTTTTGTTAGTAAGCTCACCATTTGCAAACACTTTATCTAAAGTAACGATGAGTAAATCGTTTTTGCTACTTCATTTGTCTTGAAGATGATAAAGTTTTAACTATATTTCAAAAATCTCTTCGAGATTAAATATGGTGTGGAAATCAGTTTCTATTGCTACATGTTTTCTCGAATTGGATAAAATTCTAAATATATTTTTTGAAATTGAAAAAATTAACACCAATCAATTTTAAAACCAGAATTACGTAGTCTTGATTTCCCTATTGCATGTACGGATACGTAGGAACAAGATGAACTCTCGCCAGACACAAAAAATAAAAAATTTGTTTTAATAATTGCTCAATTTTGAAGGGTATAAAAGTCCATGTGATTAGCAAGGGTATCGTCTTAATATGGGTGGATGGAATGCTAATATCTTCCCCGATCTATAAGACACTCTCAAGCTCTAAATCTTCGCATAAAGACCATATTATCCAAATTAGGCATATTAGAGAGTTTTCTATATTTTAATCGCCATTTGGGAGAGGTCGAAATTGATTTCGCCTCTTCCTAAGTCGTAGAGATGGTTTTCTAATATAGATATAGATAGTGATGCAGATATAGATGTAGATATTGATATAGATATGTATTATCATGGTAGTATGAGACATATTTTTCCACAGTAAAGATATTATAATATCAATTATAATCACTACAATTTAAAATAGTGAGGTAGAAATCAATACATGACTTATAATAAAACCCCTTAATGAATGGATAAAAGTGGTTGAAGTCATACATAACTAATATGGAAGTAGTTTTGCAAAGACATGCTAAAACAGCGGATCCCCAACTGTATATCATTATTAATATAATTCACATATTTGTTATTATAATTCACATAAATTAAATACTTTAACATACCAAATTATTAAGTAATAATTAATTTAATACATACCCATTTGGATGACTTTTTCTTTGAGATCAATATCTTTGAACTCCATGTCGAAATTGATAGCATCGTGACGAATACAATATACTGATTGTGCATTACACTATTGAGGTAGATTAGTACGGAGTGCACCCAACAAACTTGTTCCCCTATATGATATTATAGATATATTCGGTTGTGGGGTAACATATGTTCGAACATTGTAGAAAAACCACTCACAGCCTTCTTTAGTTTCTCCTTCAACAATGGCAAATGCAACAGAAAATATACGTCTATTATCATCTTGTGAACTTGCAATTAACAATGTTCTAGTATATTTTCTTGTCAATAATGTCTCGTCCACTTGAAGGAGTGGTTTGCAAAATCCAAACCCTTCAATGCAAGGCTTGAAAGCCCAAAATACCCTATCAAGAATTAAACTACTATCGTCTTCATGGCGAGATGTTGCGCATCTTACAATTGTACCAGGTGCATAACATTGGACAACGTTCAATCAATGACGTAACTCCTTGTACGATCCCTCACAATCACCATAAATTTGGGACATTGCTATTTGTTTAGTAGTTCAAGCCTTCCTATATGTCACCGTATAACCAAAATGAGAGACTACTTCTTTTACTAGTGTTTTAATTGGTGGATACACAAGTGTATGTTCCATTAATTTTTTTAATCTCCCAGATATCACGCTTTGCATTAATTGATGTCTGAATTCTACATTGACATTTAACACCAAAATGTTTACATTGTCAAACATATCTATCTGGCCTAGACTCTACAACAGTGTAATCAACAAAATTCCTAATATGAAATTGTTTTATAACATTTATTGTTGCTTCTTTTGATTCAAATTGCATAACAATAAAATGATCATTATCAAAATTATTATTTAAATTATTACTTTTATTTGGAAAACCTTGCCCAGCGGGAGAATCAATGGTAACGAAAAATGATGAAGGAGTATCATATGCTATTTAAATTATAAAATTTATTGTTGCTTCTTTTGATTCAAATTGCATACCAATAAAAATATCATTATCAAAATTATTATTTAAATTATTACTTCTATTTGGAAAACTTGCCCAACGGGCGAATCAATGGTAACTAAAAATAATGAAGGAGTACCATATGTTATTCTAACCGGTTCACTAGTAGCAATCTCAAAATTATCATCATCATCAAAACATAGCTCAATGTCCTCATCGTCACAACATAGCTCAATGTCCTCATCGTCACAACATAGCTCAATGACAATCTACATGTAAATATATATCAACGATAAATAACAAGCCAAAAAATAATTAGAACAAAATAATAAATTTAGTTACCTTATATAATAACTCTTCTTAGATTAGGAACCAATCTTTTTAAATTCAGAAATACTATTCTTATATTAGGAAACACTCTTGCAGATACTATATTTTGTGGGTAAGTTGTGATACACTCTTGGAAATGCTATATTTTGTTGGTAAGCTATGATTTCTTGCTTGTGAGATAGTGTATGGAAATCGTGTTTGTTGTCCACGACTACTGCGTGGAAATCTGTCTCTTCTACATGATTTGCATGGTGCATCGACGCCATTCTCTGTGCACAACATCACAAAAGTCGTGGACCTTATCCATGACTCCCTGAAAAACTACACCAAAGACGTAAATAAATTTAAAGTTACACAAAAT